ATGAAGAAATATTAAATGAAGCTCAAGATCGACAAAAGTCAATGCAAATGCCTATTGCCAAGAACAACCTAAATTTTGCATTGGCAACAAAGTATGATTACTTTGCTGTAATATCAAGATTATTTATCATTATCACAAATTAGATTACCATAGACCTAGACTATTTCTTATTTGTGAACAAGCCAATTCAATTGCATATTAATTATATCTACCAAAATCTATGAAGATCCATCTTATGTTCCATGCATCTCTTTTTAGGCCATATAAAATAGTTGATATACAAAGAAGTAGATAGATGCGATCTTCTTCTATAGAAGTTGATAACATTTAAGAATTTGAGGTTAAAGATGACTTAAATTCAATATGGCGTTAAATTAGATTAAAATATTTGAAACATTGGTACAAATATAATACTAGTAAACACACATGGGAGCCATCTACAAATTTTCTAAATGCACTAGAAAAGATTAATTCTTTTGATGACCACATCCATCAAAATTAAGATGAAGAGTTAAATAATTTTTTTTTATAAAGTAAAATATATTCAATAAATATTGCATTATATTTTTATTATTATTTTTGATTTCTTTATACATGTAGAGATAGAGAGATAGAGAATCAACAACCAATATTTTCAATTTAGGAGCTATAATTTATTCAATTATTAAAGAAGGAATTGAGATTGTCATAGCCTTCAAAATAATATAACAAAAATGAAGACTTTCATAAATAACATGTTCTTTTTCAAATAGATATCAAAATACAAATCGTTAGGTACCACAACTTTAGAAGAGACTCTCAATGTTTGATGATATAATTGAAGATAAAAATCACTCTTGATGGTTTTTCAAATATTTTATTTAAAAGATGTTATAAACGCATTAACAATGATACTAGCTATTCCAATTTCTTCTTGTATATATATACTTTCTTATTTCTATTTTTTTATCTCTTTGATACACATCTCACTTGTTTACCTTGCTTCTTTGAGTTCTTGTCTTTAAAAATTGGTACCACCAATGGTCTAATATTGGTCCATATATCTTTCTACATGTCTTTTTTTTACAATAGCACAAATTGTACCACATTTTCATGAACTTATCAAACTATTTTTTTTTTTTTTTTGATAATAGATTTTATATTTGGAATGGCATTCTTTTAAATATGCCAAACATAAAGGGGTACTTTGACATTATAGAATATACTTAGAATTAGCAATTACTAATACCAATTTTTAATCTATAATATAAATCAATCAATTATGAAAAAAGTGATTCTAAAAATGATTCTTTGCTTGTATTAAGGCCTATCTATAGTAAAATCTTTCTTTATCACTTCTAAAGTAATAAAATAGTAAAAAAGATTGGTTTGTAAAAAAAAACTCCATTCTATATTACAACATCTGATATTTATATAGTAAAACAACCATTAGGATTGATTAACAAAATAAGTAAAACAATAAGCATAATACTATCTTTCAAAATCTTCTCTTCTTCTTTTTTTTTTCTACATGCAATCAAGAAGATTGACAAAGTTTTAATAAGTATTCTTTAGCAATCTCCTCAATAAAATTTGATATATGAATTGTATAAGTCCTACCATTTTTATTAATTCTCATGTCATATTTTGTCTCTTTTTTAACAAGGATATTTAGTAGCACTTCAATTTGTGATCTATTAGTAAGAGTTTTTACCTTCAATATACTCCTTTGGTTGTAAATGTCTTAATATATAGTTAGCCAATCAATGAGGTGGAGGATTTTTGCAACAATCTTAAAGGCATCATTGGCTTTCAACATAATTATCACTTATTGTTGATCTTTATTCATTTTCCATACTACATAATAAACTACAATGTTTCAACCAAATTGTGAGAAAGGCAAGTATTCACAATTTTGAAATCTCAACCATGATTTGTTTCCAAATTTTTCTAAAGGATCTTTTGACAGAAACAACTAATTCTTGTATTAGTTGTATTTCTTAGTTGCAAATGCATTGTAGAATTTTTGTTCCAAAAGCAAATTAATTAATGTTTTTTTTTTTTTTTTTTTAAGGCTCTTGTTTATAGAGTTTTTTTTTAGCAAATATACAAAATCTTGTGGAGTTAGTAGTATTGGCAATAAAAGAGGCAATGAGAGCAACATAGATAGGAGTGACGGATTAAGTTGATGATATTTGTATTTGAATGGAAGATAAAATCTTTGAACACTTTTATCTAAAATGTTGTCAATAGTAGAGAAGTAATGCCTTACTAACACAAGAAAGATGTCCTGTTAATGCATTCAAAAAATATTAGTAGATTGACTTGTAAGTTTTATTATAAATATATGTTTTTTAAATAGTTATTTGAAAATAAATCTTTGTCAAAAACTATTTGTCTAAGCACCTAAAAAACTCGTTTTCAATTTACCTGAATTTGAGAAAACATATTGTAGTCACCCCCTCTTCAAAAGTCTGAAAAGGTTGACATTGATGGAGTTAATAAGCCTTGGACACAATCATAGTCACCCCCTCTTCAAATGTCTGAAAAGGTTGACATTGATGGAGTTAATAAGCCTTGGGCACAATCATAGTCACCCCCTCTTCAAATGTCTGAAAAGGTTGACATTGATGGAGTTAATAAGCCTTGGGTACAATCATAGTCACCCCCTCTTCAAATGTCTGAAAAGGTTGACATTGATGGAGTTAATAAGCCTTGGGCACAATCACAAATCAAACAAATGCTAGTATTGTAATCATACATAGGGGTTCCAATCTTAGTGTCAAGAAAACTGCTTTTAGTGCAGCCAAATTGCATGATGCAAAGAGGATACCAGTCACACCCTTACTCACTGCGATAAGCTGCACTAGTATTGTGTAATTATGTGGAACTAATCGTAAACATTGCCAACACATTGTCTACAGACAGTATTATTACATACAAGCGGAACTTCAGGATGCCTATCAGATGGGTACATCTGGATACATCCAAGGCGTTAAAGCAAGCAGAGGGTGTCGTACATCAGGGACCGGTCATCCAAGAGATCGTGGCTCCTTACCCAATACATAATCGAAGTCAGCGGCACAATCCATCTTCTGCACAAAAGCGAATTACCGATGTTTCCAGGTCACCAGGATGCTATCCCCAAGACATCAACCCATCAACCCAGTAAGTGCTACCCGGAATAGCCAACATTGAGAACTGTAGATCATCTACGAGTTGGACGAGCCTTGCACTGTCTGCTCTGTTGGCTATGCTAGCAGTTGTGCAAAAACTGGCAGCACTCACTGAAATAGCCCATGGTACAAACAGTGAAAGCTCTGCCAACTCCTGGACGATCTCATGAAAGTGGGCAGTGGTGCTAAGTGAAGCAAAAGCTTCCGCTCACTATGATATATGCGCAACGATTCACTGACAAGATTATACGTCCACACCAAGTGATGACAGTAATGCTAAAAGTTCTGTGCAACCGCAAAGAGGCGTAACTCAACAAAGGGTCGGGTGAAGAATGAACAAGTTTGAGAAACATGCGGCATTGCGAAGGTAGAACAGAGAGAGTTACCCTCCGAATAAAACAGACTCAGCAGGACGTACACTTGTGTCTAGAAAATTTAAACAAAAAAAAGTTGTCGGATGAAAAATGAACAAAATAATTTACAGTCAAGCAAGACACTTGAGCCGACTCCCAAAAACTCTACTACAGAAGTATATGAATCGAACTGCAACAACGATCAAATGGCAGCTTGAGGAAGAGGTCCATAGGGCCTAGAATGAGAAACAAATACCCCCAAAAAACAACAAGCCCATGGGAAACCTAAGCACCAAGATCGAATCGCGATCAGTTATGCACCCCTCACACCCTCCATTTCTTGCATCCACTTGTGAAATTGACCCCTCCTCTTCGACTCCGCCGTCACCTTTCGTCTCTTGCCCCCAGGCACAGACCTCCAAAATACATCTTCCGTGTCCAGCACGTAAGATACTTTTGACGTCCGACATGACATCTTTATCTCTAACCCGTTCAGTATGTTCACATCGCTCCCGTAATCCTCACCGTCTTCAACACGCATTCGCTTTAGATTTCGCACACAAAATACCTGCCCGCGCTTGCTCGAGGGTATGGACGTCAAAAACCCATCCAAGTACTTTTGAAATGAGCTCTCCAAACTGTTTCCGGGAGCCTCGGAATGCTCCATCAGCTGCACCAGCAACTCGCTTGGGTTCGACCGTTGTTCAAAACGGTATATGTTCTCATCGTGCAGCACCACGCAAGCATCAGCGTAGTACACCGCGTCCACGACTTCCCGCTCGTTCTCGTACGCATTCAGAGCCAGCAGCTTCTGCACCACGTCGTCCGTCGCTGCCGCTTGCAGTTGCTTCACCAGCTTGAAAATCAGCTTGTCCAGCGTAAATAGTATGTACGATTGCGTACCTATGATTGCCCTGCACTCGTCTTCGAACTTCGAATTGTCCACGGAACCGTCCAGCAACCCATACAGCACCTGCATGAACCGGGAATACAAGTTCGGAGGACTGCCGCCATCGCCACCCTTCTTCTTAGCTGCCAGCTCTGCATTCACCTTCGCCGACAGAAGACGCTCGTACAGTGTTTGGTACAGCCTGCACGCACAAACCTCTTTACCACAAACCTCTACGCACACACAATCTCTTCACCACAAACACAACACACATTCCACTCCAACCCTTGCACCAAACGTCACACCGAGGACAACGAAGAGCATCATGCAACAATCTCCGCTCGGATCAACATTCCGTTCACAAAACTAATTGCGCTCAATCACTCCTCCCCAACCCAAAATGACTACCTTAACACGGCCTCTGCTTATCTAAAACTTACTCGCACTCCACCAATGCCAACAAACCTCCAAGGATTCCAAGCCAAACCTGAAGAGAACGTAAAACGTGTCGTTCCCATAAAATATCCTTCCGCATTTCCTCGAGTTCGACACCCCCGCCAAGCCTGCACCGGACCCGGGATAAGCTGCCAGCGGCTTGCAGTGTGCATACGAGTGTTCCGAATCTGCCAGTGATGAGTTCCCATCCCCGTCTCCATCGTCCACATCTGTCATACCCTCTGCCTCCCCTTCGCTCTCAGCCTTCCCTTCCTGCTCCTCTTCCTCTTCCTCCTCATGCTCCGACTGCTCGTCCCCAGACTGCTCGCTTGCCGAAACCTCTTCCCCAGCTTCCGACGGAGTGTCGCTGCCTGAGCTCGACTTCTGAGCGCTTTCCTCCCCTTCGTCGTCTGCATCTACACACATGCCAATATTGTGAACCACAGCCCTACATAACTCTAATTTTCTGCCAAAATCACACATCGACCGCCACTCCACAACATCAAACCACTGCACACAACACACAAGTCTACTCACACAAGCAGATACCCATGTCAACCCTCACCGCACAAAATCTTAGACCCACCATTTCCCAATTGTGTGCAACTTCGCAAAGAACACACACACATATACCATAACGTACTGCCATGTAATCGCTTACCTTGTTCGTGTTCCATCTCTCTCCCACCCACGCCCTCTGCATCCTCCTCTTCACCACCGAATAACTTCACTGCACCATTTTCTTCCCCTCCCCGACGCGAACTGTACTTCGGCTTCTTTCGCTCCTCCTGCTCCGAACAAGGCGATAACTCTCCTTCTTCTCTATCCACCGTCCGACCACCGCCAGTGCCATTGCCGTTCGTCACCGAACCGCCGCCGTCCGCCACCAATCTGCTACCCCTGTTCTCGCCAAGACCCGCATTTGCCCGCGCTCCCACTTCGCGTCGTTCCGTTGGCCCACTGCTCAGCTTCGCCCCGTTGCTTCCACCGTGTAACCACCCCGACCCTTCCGTTCGCGCAGCTGTCCCCTCCCCACCCTCCACTGCCATACCTTCCCTTACTTCGTCACATCCCCGATCATCCGCTTCTGCTCGTGCATTCTCCACAACCAAACTACCTCCCACGCTTCGCTCTCCGCCACTCGCTGCTGCATTCGTCGTGAATGCCATCACCCGACCCTCGGACCCCTCCACGCCCACCACCTCCGCACCTCTGCCCACAGTGCCTTCTCTCTCCAAACCCGTGTCCCCACCTTCAAGACTGCTCCTCACATCCCCTCCGCTGTCACCGCTCTCTCCACCGACCCCGTCCCTGCCTTCGCCCTCCAACGACTTCACCTTCACCCCTTCCTCCACGTCTTCCACCCCCTGCGAACGCGACGATAGGCCCAGCACTGGCTCTACGAACATCCTCCACATCCGCATTGTCTTCTCTGTGTGGTCCGGCGAGCTGCTGATCTCCTCAGACGAGTACTTTATGATCTGGTACATGTCGTCATGGATCGACAGTTCGCTAAACTCATACCGCAGATCCGGCATCAGAGGCCGCCGATTTCCGGCTGTTATCGCCAGCATCGTGTCGTCTTCTCTCCTCCTCTTCTCGCTCACCTCCTTTATCTCTGCCAGCAGCCCTTTCGTGCTCAGCGCCTTCTTGTCCTGCGACCTGAAGTAGAAGCTGCGGTGGTCTAGGGCCTTGTAGCAGTTCTTCGCGTACACCTCCGACCACACCTTGTTCATCTCCTCCCGGCATCGGGTCCACTCTTCCTCCTTCTGTACCAGACGCGAATGTATCACGGGCATCGCTCGACTCGTGTTCTTACGAACCGCCTCCAGCATGTCCAGTCCATGGTCCCCGTATATCCGCTCGATGCACCTCAAATTAATCGCTGACAAAAATTCGTCCACCGGCGGCAATGCCTCCGCTTTCCCGTTCTGCTCCTCTTGCTTCGTAATGTAGTCTCCCACCAGCTTCGCCGTTACAGCCGTCCCCTCCAGCAGCATGTCCAATTCGAACCGATCGTCCTCGCACCGGAACAGGCTCTCCTCGTACTGGTTCTTCCGCATGTGCTTGAACGAGTAGTCCTCGCTCCCTGACGTCACCGATACCCAGCTGTCATTCAGCACCGAGTTCCCCAATGCCGTGCGATGGCTCGACACAGGCCGAGGATAATGCTTCGGCAGCAGCCGGTAGCTAGGAGTGCACCGATCGCAATTCGACAAATCTAGCTCAGATATTGGCTTGTTGATGTACTTGTCCTTGCTCGACACCACCTTGTGACCCCCCTCCTTCGCTGCCTGAGATGGCTTCACATCCCGCTCCCTCTCCTTCGCGTCCCGCTGTCTCTCCCTCTCCTTCTCCTTCTCCCGGTTCCTCTCCCGCTCGCCATCCCTCTCAGTCTTCACGTCCTTCGCCGGTGCACCCTCCGCAAAATCCCCTAGCTTGCGCCCGCTGAAAACTCCTGCCAGGTACCCTTCCACATTCTCGCAGTGCGTCAGGAACTCGGTGAATCCCTCCATCAGATCCGCATGCTTCCCGAGGATGTCGCCCACCAGGCTCTGCAGCTCATCGCGACTAATGATCTCCTGACTGAAGATGTTCAGACATTTCAGAAACTCCTGGTATGTGTCCCGGCTACGCAACCGAGCCTTCACTTTGTCGAAAAACGGGTACTGCACACCGATCACGCCCTTCACCGCTTTCTTGTCATCCGTCGACGCTTGGGGGACGGACCCAGAAAAGCCCTCACCTACCTCGCCGGCCTGGGACTGTCTTCTGATGGCATCACTCGCATTACGAGCAGACGCTCT